GTTTTCCCTTCATCTTCCATCTTTACCATCCTCTGACAGTTTCTTATAAATATCTGAATATCTTATAAATTTCTGATAAAAACCTTTGGATACAAAGGGTTTCTGGGTCCCAGGAGATGGTTCAAGTATTAACCAGGCCTGATTTTTTTCATACTTCACTACCAAGGCGTTTGGAAATGCTCTAGAACCTTGGTTTTCGCCATGACATTTACAGAGCAGCTAAGCTTGCCCACAGACAAGCGCTGGGGCCTAGTCAGCTGTAAGGAGGCTGGATCAACTCCAGCAATTGGCAAACACTGTGACACATTAAATGTCTCCACAGGCTCTGTTTGGTTTTAAATTGAAAGACTGCTAGTGGGGGGGAAAAAAACTTACAGATTTTGTCTAGAGAAGGAAACACTTACCACCACCTCTTTTTCTCTGCTCTTCCTCCATCGACTACTTTTCTAAGGACCAGACAACCTCCTCTTACAACCCTATCTCAACCCAGCCCCCTGCTCCACTTAAACACCAGTGAGAAACATTCAAAGGATGGAGCCTAGCAAGTTCGGGCGCTTGTTTCCAGGATGATCTCTGGTAGAAAAGAATGTGGCATCAGGACTGATTGAAAGCAGATGTGACCCAACTAAAAGGCCCATCTTCCCAAGATCCTCCACTCTTCCGTCTTCTTTCCTTCTTGACCACATGGCCTCAGCCCATCTGAGATTAGAGCCTTAGAACCAGAAAAGAGCTTTCCATTGGTGCACTGGTGCACTGGGACATTGGTGCTTTTCTTTCCTGTTCCAGCTCGGGAAGGTTTGTTTGTTTGTTTGTTTGCTGCATGATTTTCTCAAGGAAATTAATCCAGATGGATCATCATTTTTGTTAGTGTTCAATCAACATCCTTCCTGCTGGCACACTGCAGGCATACAGTTAGGACACCATACCCTCCCACACAAGTGTGAGGATGTGGGCATCTGCATGGGGTGAGCAGAGAGGATCCAGTCCTCCTATTCCATTTGCTAACATTTAGGTCAGACATAGGCAGGGTCTTTAATATGTCATGAAGTGACTCTCAGACAACAGGCCTGAGAGCAGAGACTGTCAAGAACTTTAGGGCTCATGGTGGCAGACTTGATGGGACTGGAGAACCTGAACTGTAAGAGTAGCTAAGGTCTTGATCCTACGTCACTGTCCTACTTCATTAGGTTACTGGTTACAGTTTAATCATAGGAAGAAAAAAAGAGAAAACAGGGCAAACAAAAGGTTCTTGGGTTTTAGTACATAGACTCAAGAATGTCTTTGTCCATTTGTAGTACCATAAGAAAATACTTGAGACTGGGCCATTTATGAAGAACAGAAGTTGATTTTTCTTAGAGCTGTAGAGCCTGATAAGTCTTGGACGAAGGCACCAGAATCTGGTGTGACTATGCTCCTGTGCCATCGAATGCTAGAAGGTAACAGGACAAATCAAGAGGAAGAAGGGACTGAACTCATCATTGTATGGTGGCACCAGTGCCACTCTTCCTGGAGCAAGCAGATCTTAAAGTCCCATCTCTTAATTCTGTTCAAATGAAAGTAAAATGTCAATGTGAGTTTTTAAAGGGAAAAACAATAAAACCTGTGGGGAAGACCATGTAGGAGGCCCATCTTCTCCAGCTTTTCCCACTCCGGGCCTCTCTGCTCCCCTCTCCACTGACGGACTTTTTGGTGACAACTAAGAAACAACAGACATAAAGCAAAGAAAAATCACCCTACAAGTCACAATCCTGGAGAACCTAGACTACAGAGAGGACCCAAAGAGAGAAAGAGAGAAGAAGAAGAAGAAGAAGAAGAAGAGGAGAAAGAGGAGGAGGAGGAGGAGACAACAGAGAGTCATCTGATGGTCATACTAGCTCTAATGTGCCTTAGCAAGACACTGACCCTTGCGATTAGCAGTGTCCTTGTCTAAGACATCCTCTATAGAGCCGAGGGAGAGATGCTGCTGTACCTGCCAAACATGTGTGTCTCTCCCTCATTCCTGGTGATGTGACTGCTTACTCGCCACTCTAAGACCCTGGCGTGACAGGGGGACTGCTCCACCAGCACAAATGTTTAAGAGTTGAAATTGTGTGTGCATTCGTGTGCACGTGTGCAAGCACAAGTGTGATGGTTCCTGTGTATGCAAGTATACACGTGTATGGGAGACACGCCAGAAACCAACCCCAGCTCTCAATCACTTTCCATCACAGATCACCGGCCTTGTTTGTGAGTCAGGCCCTCCGGCCACTCACCAGCCCAGAACTCACTGATTTGGCTAGGATGTCTGGCCACAAATCTGCCTGTCTCTGCCTCCCCAATGTGGGGATTACAATGCATGCATCACTATAACCAGTTTACAATTTTTTAGTGTGTGCGTGCCGCAACGATGCATGTGTAGAAAACAGAGGACCACTTTGTGAAGTTGGTTCTCCCCTTCCACTTTACATGGGTTCCAGGTATGTAGTGTGGGTTTCCAGCTTGCACCGCAAGTGTGTCTTGTCTCACTGAGTCACCCTTATGGCCCACGCCTACTATTTTTATATGGATTTTGGAGATTGAACTCGGGTCCTCAGGCTTGCAAGGCAATTACTATGTGAGCCATTCCCTAGCCCTGAAAGATGAATTTTAATTGCGGATTTCCAGCTTCAGAAAAAAAAAAATACAAGAAGAGATGAGGCAATGGAGTTGCAGCAAACAAGAGACTCCATAGAAGAAAGCGAGGAGGCTCGAGAGGGGAAAACTAGAAGAGAATGAAAGCAACGAGTGACGGGGAAGGGGGGCAGAATTGGATATCTGCTTTTGTCACGTTTTGTGTGGTTAAGGTTAGCAGACTCCTACTATGCCCTCTGTCCCCAAACACTGACTATGTCTTCCTTGTTCCTTGGTCCTTTTCCTCACCCATATCTCACCTCACACCTTTGTCTCCTTCATCTGACTCCCTCTCACCCTGGGCCACCACCGACTCAGGGCTGCCTCACTTGCATAGACACCACAGCCAACCCAGGGCACAGAAAAAAGGAAGTTGTCAGAGAAGGGCTCTCCACCAGAATATGAGAGGCTGGCAGGGGCAGACATGAGGTCCTAGTCAAGCCATCTCTACAACATACCTCTGATATGAAAGAGCCAACCAGAAAGTGACATGGCTTCCCAGCAGCCTTCCCCCATGTCCTTCAGTCTTTGCATTTCTGGAAGAGTGTGACTATGGAGGATACACACACTTAAGTCTATAAAATGTGGCTTCTTCGTCCTGAAAACTGAAAAGGAAGTGCAGGCATTTTGGCTTCCCATCTCTGTCAGCACTTGTCACAGTACACCTCCCATGTTAAGGCCAGTGACACTGTCCAGCACTCTGTCACTTAACTGCAAAAGCAGATGTGATACATTGGTATGATGTTCAATAAACAGCAGTGTCCTTTAAGGCCTTAGAGAGACTCTATTCCAATCTCCCTGCTTAGAGATGATCTAGCCAGGCTCGTCCACATTTATAAGTGGGCTATGAATCTTCTACACTAGTAAAATGATCTTCATCGGGAAATGCAGCCTGCCTAAATGCACACAGTCAGATTCAACCTCCCTGCATGGGCTTCAAGCGTGTTCTCCACCTTACCTCACCTTCCATCATGTAAGTCTCCACATTGTTTGTAGCCCCCGTGCCTTTGCACAGATAGCTTTGATAGGGATGTCCCGTTTCTCCTCCACCCAAGGAGCTCTGGGCTTCTTATCAGTATGACTGTGCATAGCTAGCCCTGCTTTCTGAAACTTGAATCTGACCAGGAACAAAAGTATGAGAATTTCAGAAGCAGGCAGGCCTAGGGTTAAATCTCTGTTCATTCCTGACTCCACGCCTCAGAGCTCTGACCTACGGTATGGCGATGATAACAGCAAACTTTCAGGACTGGCATAGCCTGTTCCACTGCTGATAGTCTCTATTTTGCCCTTCCATCTTAGATTGACATAGATAACTCTTTTCAACATCATGCCTTTAACTGTATGTTGTCCTAAATTATGCTTTATTTGGTTGTAACTTATGTACATTAAAATGCACCGACTTTTTTAAAGCACACAGTTCAACCAGTTGTGACAAATACAAGCACCTGTGAATATTGGATATTTCTATCATTCCTCAAAGTTTCCTGATGCCAGGGAACCAATGATGCCTTTTCACAGCTCTGGCTTATAGTGTCTCCCCTGGGAGTTTCATGTCAATGCAGTTACACAGTGCACATTCTTTTGTATATGGCTCCACTCACTCAGTAGAACGTCTTAAGATTCTTTGCATGTATCATTAGTTGGATCATTACTGATACATTTTCTTTTTGATACAGGGTCTCCCATAGCCCAGGCTAGCCTCAAACCCCCTATGTAACCAAGAATAATCTTGACTTCCTGATCATCCAGCTGTGTTTGCCCTGTGCTGGTATTACAGCTATGAACCATGTTGCCTGGTGTATGCAGTTCGAAGCTAGGCACACACTCTGCCAACTGAGCTGTAGCCCAAGATCCTCTCATTGTTATATTTTATTGCTGTACTTCACTTTTATATTATGATTCATCTGACCCCCTTACACTAGACTACAGGCCCTCAAATTACTTTTTAATTCTTTAGACCTCCTGTGTAGATGATGTGGGAAGTACTGTATATGTATTGCTTTTATTGGTTAATGAATAAAGAAGTTGTATTGGACTGTGATAGGGCAGAGTAGAGCTGGGAGGGGAGAACTAAACTGAATGCTGGGAGAAAGAAGGTGGAGTCAGTGAGACACCATGTAGCCTCCACAGGAGACAGATGCGCTGGAACCTTGCCGGTAAACCCCAAGCCTCGTGGTAAAATATAAAATAATGGAAATGTAGACATAGTAACTTTCATAGGAGAGGGAAGGGGGGGACACACAGAATTACCAAGGGACATTGGCTAAAGTCTTATTACAATCTTGTCACCTGTCTACTCCTAGAAGGCAGCACTCACAGTCCCCAGAAGAACCCAGCCCACAGGCACTTACAAGAGCCAGTCCACCGCCACCAGCAGACTGATATCCTCCGTTGGCAGGCCCACGGCTGTTAGGATGAGGAGCATGGTGACCAAGCCGGCACTGGGAATACTGGCTGCACCGATGCTCGCCAGGGTAGCTGTGAGGCTGCAAGGACAGAGAGAGCCAGATCAGGGGAAGAAAATGAGATTTGGCAAACTTACCTTTGGCAATCTTGCAGATAAGAAAAAAAAATCTTCCAATTTTCCTATGGTCATTAAAAATCTCTTTCTTTCTCCAAGGAACAAAGAAATGTGAAATACTACTCTCCAGGAACTGAGCTCAATAATAACGAAAGCTCATAAATTCATGGATTGGAGTCGTGTCCCCTTTGTGATGCCCAATTAGCCTATGGTATCCAGTATGAAGGCGGTTGAAGTTCTAAAACAGGCATGGAAATATTAACGATGAAGAAATAAATCACCCTCAGCCCTTCTGCAGGAACAAAACTGGATTCATTTCTGTTTATGCCTCCATGTGTCTGTGAGTGCCACAGCTCTTTGGACTACGTGGCAAGAGTCTAAGGAGATCATTGCCAATATTAACATGAGAGCGGAGGTTAGAAAATATTCAGAACCGCCTGAGTGGACATCAGGGGAAGCCATCAACATATTCCAGGAGACATTCAGCTTCACTTGCCTGGACATGTCCCCCAAGGCTGGAAAAGACATTATTCAGAAAGAGGGTGCCACATAACGATAATGGAATAAAAGGAAATTCCTCATACACTTTCCATCAACGTTTCAAGCAACATCAGGAGCATACCTGGCACCATTATGAACTCTTCTCAGAGTTCAGAGGTTAATCTTGGGTTCAAGCGTCCTGTCTACATATCAGAGGGTTTTTGAGGCTCACTAACTGGCAGTGACTTTTCGATTTTTGTACATGTCATTTTATAGAATCAATCGCTTCCTTCTTAATTGCCTAGGCGTGTGGGGGTGTACCTATTCCTGCTACTGTATACACACAAAGGTCAAAAGACAATCTTGGATGTCATCTTCAAGGACGTCACCAAGGATACCACCGTTCCCTTTGAGGCAGGGCTTCTCATTGTCTTAGAGCTCACTGGCTAGCCACTGTGTCCCAGGTACCTGCCTGCCTTCCAAGCTCCAACATTAGGATGAAACACACTTGTCACCATGCCTGGTGTTTTTATGTGGGCTTGGGGATTGAACTCAGGTCCCTGTGTTTATCAGGCAAGTCATCTCCTGGGACTTGGAGCTGCCCCTGCTTAACAGAATGTTGTTTCTTAAAATAAGCCTCCCCAGTGCGATTTTATGACTGCTGAAGAAAACGGGGGCTGCTTGCTTCAGAGTTAAAACGTTAGAATGTTTCTAGAACAGGTACTCAGGCCCCAAACCCCAGGCTCTCAGAAGGCTTTGACCAAGTCAGACCATCAATGTGACCAGGCCCAGAATCCCAAGACCTGTAACTGAGAGGGACGTGAAGGAGAGGAAAGCCCTTGGAGCGCCGGTGGGCTGGCATATTTGTTCATGGTGTGATCTACAGAACATGGCTGCGCCCTTTCCTTGTCACACCAACATGGAGTTGGTGTTGGGTTTTAGAGAACTACATGGCTGAATTCATTTGAGACAGCAGATGGTGTTTAATAACTTTTTTTCTTTTCTTTCTTTTTTTTTTAAATCCTAGGTTCAAATCCTAGCTCTACCACTTGTCAACCACATGACTTTGGGCAACTGCATCTCCTTGTACTTTGACTTCCACATCTGTGCAAAGGAGTGAGGAGGGGATCTCATTCATGAGGTAGCCAGCAACTTTTAGGATCCGGTAAGTGCAAAGGCACTTAAGAGAGGTTGGGCACATCACAACCCCCTAGCCAACAAAATGCCATTCTTATCAAGAGTTATGGGAGTGAAACTTCCCTGAAGCCCCGACAGATGGGAATTCTCAGACCTTCCCCAGTCAGGACAGAACAGAAGGGAAGAGGGGATTCCTGGGTTCCAGTCATCCTTAGCCTTGGTTGTTTGATTTACAGCATCGGTTGCTTTGGTCATGAGTCACTCTTACAAGTACTGTGGCCATTTTGATCTAACTAGTTCTTGGTTCTGTGAAACAAAGTCTTATATGTACATAAATTCTTGTTGGGAGTCAAATGTTAACAGTAACTTTGCCCTCCTACAGATAGTGTTCTAGAAAATTCCCAACCTGTCCCTGGTCCCTCAGCCTGTTCTGCTTTGTCTGATATTCCCCTTCCCTGACTGGTTTCTCCAGAGGCAAGTTCCTGGAGGCTGTGCCAAGTTCTATGTACACAACATCAAAGCAGAACCTCACAATAACCATACAAGGTACATAAGCATGTTATTTCACCATAAGACAACCAGGGATTGGATGGATGCGGACACTTAGGGTCACTAAGATCCAACGTGGTCTTCTGGGATTTGAACACTCCTCTGCTTGATACTGTTGCATGCTGACTCTTGATGACCCTGGGAGGTCTGTGACTCAATAAATATATAGAGTTCTTGGCCATTGCTCTCATACATGAGGGAGAAGAGAAAATGAAAGATTTACACAACAGCACAACATAAAGCTAGACTTGGCTACTTTTCTCCCCAGACACATTGCAGGCAGAGAACTGCACATACGCCATGTGGGAGCCTGTAGAGGCAGAGCTTCCGATGTCTACAATTAAGGAGGATTTGACTTAACTTGTCCAGAGGCCAAGATTTAAACATATATGGCCAACCTTATCCAATTGCTCAGTGAAATTTTCCAACAGTAGCATTGTTAATATAAAATAAATCCCAAATAGATTAAATTATGTAATGCTGATGAAATTCCACTTAGTCATTGCTCTAATTTTAATCTCACAGTGTGCACTGGAGGGTAGGCCTGGTTGCCGTCAAGGCTAAGAATGAAAGAACATGAAGCCATCATTGCTTGGCCAAAGACTTCATTAAGGCAAGAAGCCCTTTCACCTAAGAGTTTTTAAGCATGGGAAGTTGGAAGGCTCAGGTGATATCTATTAGGACAAGATCCATGCTTGATACTCTGATCTGAAGCAGGCTTCCCATTGTGGTTAATTTGTGGTACTCATTGTGCCATAGCCACATTTTCACTTACTATGACAGGGTTACTGTTTGACTTCATTGATTGTCATTGATAGGGTGAAATGTGCTATGTATGATGCTCTCAACCATCTCGATTCTGTGACTGCTGCCTTTGTGGGATAGATGAGGATGATGGACGTTCTACTCTAGTATAAGTGTCTGTAAGGTCAGATAAATCAACACACAAAGGCAGCCCAATAGTATATATATATCCAGCTTTAGCAGAAGCAGTGTGACTCACTTTGAGGTGGCCTGGGTTCAAGTCCCACTTCACCACTTATAAACATGATCTTGGGAACGTGTTCTTTTCTTACTTCATGCTTTATTTTCACCAGCTGAGATACACAGACCCCATTACCCATTTTTCTAAAGTCACCCCTAAGGCCACAAATTAATTTTTAGTAAGCAGAAAAATATATCCAAATTTGGGAACTTGAATTTTAGCCATCCTTTGAATGACTAGAGTCTTTGAGTCTCAGGTTTCTCATCTGCCAGATGAGATGGCTTCACAAGCCATTATTTGTATTTCCAAATCATATGTTAAGCTTAGTAAGGCTTCATTTTGTTCTTACTTAGTTGTTCAGCCAAGATTTGATGTGTATGGAATGTTCATTAAAATATTCTGGAATGACTATAAGGAAATGAAAGGAACTAGTAACCCAACAAAAATAGATCTAAATTGGCTAAAAGACTCCCAGATAGATAAATGAGGCAGGGCCCTGTGGTGGCAACTCTCTGGGGTATCTGGGGTGTCAGCCCCTAATACACTGAGAATCTCAATTTCCAGTGCCTGAGCCTGACCTTTCAATAAGCTCAACATGGGGAGAATCAGATACAAATGACTCCCCTTCCCCGACTCTTACGATTGTCACCTAAAGTGATCCTAAGACCACCAAAGGCCTCCTACAGAATGAGCTGCAGGCCAGACACCAGCTGTCATTCTAAAGTAGAGAAGGCCTTATTGTCAAGGGTTTGAAGGGCAGAAAGTCCACTGCGTGAATCTGGACACAAAGGGTGTGGCTTCTTCTTCATGTGCAATGGAGGCAACACCAACAGAACCATTATTCTAATGGCTGCATTTGAGTTAGGGAAAGGGAAGGAGTAGGGAGTGCCAAGAGGTTGCCTAAGGGGTCAACAATGGGGACAAAAGCCATCCTTCCTTTGCAGATTGCTGGAATGTCTGAGGCTGGATATGAAGAAGGCCACGACAAGACTAGAGTTCTCATTATAGAAGCTGAAAGTTATTTCCATGTCAATCTAATCTTTTCTCAAAATGAATCTGTGGGGCTGTGGTTGTTACAGTTCTCTGGATTTTCCTTTGCCTGCAAGTACATTAATTATACAGAATGTGATCCACCTAGCCATTGCATTTACCAATCTCACAGAATCTGAGAGAGAAAGGGAACGTAATTCACAACATCCCAAAGTAATAACTTTAAACGTCTTAAAGGGACAGGCACTGGTGGTAGGTGACAAGGCCAGGTCTGGGTGGTGAGGGCCAGGGGTGACCAGTAAATGGAAAACACCTGGCTGAACAGACACTAACATTCTAATTATTTTACAGCACATCACAGAACAAACAGCTAGGCTCCCAGCTGGCTTCAGCCCACCAACTGCCAACTCAACAGTCCTCAACTCCGAAAGCCTTCCTCATTTGTAGATGGGAATTCAAGACACTCTAAGAGGGAGTGGGACTAAGTGGGACCAGGAGGAAGCTCACTGGCTTTTTGTTGTGTTTTCTATTTTAACTAAAGCCGAGAACTGTCTCCTAATTTAACCGAAGTTCCTAATTGAAGTATCAGTGACGATACTAAAATGATTTCATAGTACAATGTCAGCACAACATTGGACAGTTGGAAGGCTGAAGTCACTCTACCTACAAATAAGATCTCTGTTTATGGAGAAGCAGGGCATTTTAGATGACCTCTCGGGACCACGTTCTCAGTGTCAAAACAATAGTAAATACAGGCAATAAAGAAATGCATCAGTGAAAGCACAATTGTGTGCTACTTATTTACACTAACATGTCCTATGCCATACTGAGGAATCTCAGTAGCTCAGCATGGGTACCATCATGCCTTGGAACGTTAAAAAGGGCATATTTAAAATATTAATCTTGCATGTTTATGTGTGCAAACAGCACATGTCTGGAGATCAGAAGATTTGGTTGTCTCTTTTCATTATGTTGGGCCTGAGCATTGAAATCTGGTGGCAAGTACCTTTATCCACTGAGCTAGCTAACCTAGCCAGAAGGGAACATGTTTTAATGACAGGATAATTGACCCAGAATTAGTAAATGTCACCTCAGCCACAGCCATGCCAGCTCAGACGAGCTGTATAGCCTGAGACAAGCCACTGTCCTTCCAAGCCTAATTCTCCTTGTGTGTTGAATGAGCATACAACTAACTGGTCACATCACATCTGGTTCAAGGAACTAACTGGTCACATCACATCTAGGCTGTGACGTAAGTGGGCATGTGTAACATACCACTAGCCCCTCCCCTTCCTGTCACAGTCTTTTCGCTTTTGAAGTTTGCCAGTAATCCCTTCACTGTGCCTCACTGGAGCTGAAACTGGAGCAGCTTCTGTCAAGTGGAGTTCGCATGGAGTGAGAGCAAGGAAGACGGATGTTTCTCCGCTCCTTCTGTAGGCGCTTGGCTCACCTTACGGTCACAATCTGCCCTCCGTCCAGGACGACACCGTTCATCTGGGCTATGAAGATGGCGGCCACGGCTTCGTAAAGGGCTGTACCATCCATGTTAATGGTTGCTCCAACCGGGAGGACAAACCTGGTCACACGCTTATCAATCCCTAGATTTTCTTCCAAGCAACGGAAGGTGACAGGCAAAGTCCCAGCACTGGGGGCAGTGGAGAGAGAGAGAGAGAGAGAGAGAGAGAGAGAGAGAGAGAGAGAGAGAGAGA